TCAAATAGGTCATTGCTAAACAATCCAAGGCATGATTTCAACAGAACAAGTAAAAACTCATTCTGTGAACATAATTTTTTGTATCTACCATGTTTTTTTTGGTGACTTTTTATTTGGATCTTTTTAGGAAACCATCTTATTTCAGTTTTGAAACTAAATCAACGATGTGCAGTTGGTTTTATAAGGTCATAGAGAATGTTAAAAACATTCACGGAAGGAATGTTTGTGTAAAAGTTACACTTCTTGTCAGTTGTTAATAACTGTTTGTAGACTTTGTTTTGAAGATCATTTTTGACTTTATTTTTAATTATATTTACCTGAATTTGTAGTTTTCAAAAGAGCAACTTTATGTTTAGAGTTGTATACAAGGTTTTTAGTGGGATAAGGATTTTGTAATGTAAGCTCTTTATCTTTAAAGTTAGCTAACTTTTGCATCTTGCTTTGGACAGATAAAATCCGTTGTTCCAGGAGTATTTAAGCGGTTATCAATTTTGACGTTGAGAGGGAGATTTTTTTATAGTTGGAAAAAGATATAACTTAAAAAGTAATGCACAATTACTCAATTTTTACTTTTTTTTACATTTATGTTCTGTGCATATTTCAACTTTTTACAAGACAATGAAATGACATTGCAATGATACGCCATTACAACTTCTTACAACACAATGATATGCTGTTACAACTTTTTATGACAAATGATATTACAACTTCTTCAACACAATAATATGTCATTCCAACTTCTTACGTCAAAATGATGACGTCATTGTACCAATAACAACAAACTAAACGCGACCCGAGTGCTTATTTATTTCTTCTCCATTTTAAAATGTTGGGAGAAAATATTAAGTGATCTTATAAAAGTGACAACTATTTATGCAATAAATTTTAAATTATAATAATAACTATTAAAAATATTATTTTCTATTAAATTTACTAATTATGTATAAAAAAAAAAGTTAAAAAAATTAAAAAATCAAAAGTTTTATTGTTATTTTTAGATATTAACGCGGAAAAGTTCTTTTAACATTTTAAAATGGAGTTGCACTCAGGTCACGTAAAGCAAGAATGATTAAAAAATTTCAAAAAGTTTTAATTTCAAAATAATTACGTCAGTTTAAAAAAATATCTTCTCGACACTCATGACTCCTTCATAAAATGTACCATTCTTTAATGTTTGTTTACTCAAAAAACTTTTTTGTTACAACTTTCGGGAATTTCGAAAACCGTGTATTGAAATTAAGATAAGTTCGACTAGACGTTCTTCTGATAAAGTTGATCTAAGGGGTCTAAGGGATTAGTGGTTTTGTGACGACTTATGCGAAACTTGTTATTAAAGAGTTAGGATGTTGTGACGAGAGGGAGGAGAGGTCTAAAACGGTCAAAAATTGCGTGACTTAATTTATGGACAACTCCAAAGATAAGCGTCACGGTAAGGAAGGAGGCGTGAGCTTCCTAGTTATATGCACTTCTGCGGTGCTCTGTGACAAGACCTTTAGGACTTCTTTGGGGACCTAAATAATGAAAAAAAAAAAGTTTTTATTAATTTTGAACGGGAAAAAGATCGTTCTCTACTTGCAACTGTTACCGGTTGGGTTGATAAAAATTGCAAAGCATTATTTAATTTATCGAACAACGTCTCCAAATTATTTAATGTACTGAGAGGAGTCAACTTAACCGGATCTTGAAGATTATATAAAACTGCTAATGTAGAAAGGAAGTTCCCTTAATATTGAATTTGTTGCAATTTCTTCTGAGAATTCTTATTGCTTCACAATTGATAACAGTCGGTGCTCTTTCCCTCCGAGTTACGGCGTTTTCATGGAATATCAACATCAGTAGAATTCTTCAATATTAAACCATTCTTATCATACAAATGTTTTTATCAACATTTAAAAAAAGAAAGAGGTGATATCATCTCTTTGTTTTTCAACTTCTTGTTCTCTCGTCTCCTTGCGCCTGCAATTTCGATATCCAGAGGGTTTCTTTGAAGACATTTTTATCCTTAATATAGTTTAAATATATTATACACTTTATCATTTAATGATGCGAAAATGGTGCAAAATTAAATTAATTAATTTTTATCGAAAGATTGAGAAAAAAATTAAAACAATATCCCACCTAGCACACTTACATTGGGCCAACGTAAGTAAAACCATCGCAAACGTTGGCTCTTTTTTCCAATGCAAAACCAACGTTGATCCAATGTCATTTGGTTATTGATAAAATTATTACCAATGGAACTAAAAATATCTGGCAAATCTACATTGCTCCAATGTATGTAAAAACATCGCAAAAAGTTGATTGTTTTTACGATCTAAACCTAATGTTGATCCAATGTATATATTTCAACGTTGATTCAATGTATATAAATCAACGTTTTTCCAATGTATGTAAAAACATCAAAAAAATTTAATTTTTTTTACAAACTAAACCCAACGTTGATCCGATGTATGCGACCAAACATTGCTATTGCAAAATTATATAACTTAAATAAAATCTTCCATGATTATTAAAATATCAAACCACAATCAATAAAAACATGGTTTTTGTTCCGAAGATTAAGTAATGTTACTCACTAAATCTAAACCCTGCCCGCGCCACTCCACGCTATCCCCCAAACACGACCACCCCCGCCCCCCACCCCCAGCCGGCAGAGCAAGCCACGACACCCCCCCCGAGAGCCGAAACAAGCCAGACCCCGACAATGTGCCCCCCCTCCCCCCAAGGCAACCACCCAGTGGAGGATGAACCACAAAACCCACATATACATGTATATGTATGTATATAAAAAGAAAATAGAATTTTATGAAAACTATATTCCGAATAATATTGAATGCAACGTTTTGGCAATTAAAGTTCAACGTTGAATTAACGTAAATACAACGTTAAAACAACGTAAAATACAACGTAAGGCCAACATATAAAATAAAACGTTGAATCAACGAACCATTTTTCGACCTTAAATAAAAGTTTTATCAACATTGGTTTTTAGTTGTTGGCGACGTCACATTTGTAACCATAATGATATAAAAACAACGTTGGCAGGCGATGTTGGGCCAACGAAAAGCGCGACATTGTTCTAATCTTTTAACAACCTTATGTGTGCTAGCTGGGTAAAACAAACCACTAATACGTTAAAGAAGTTACTCCAAGATTCTTTATATATTTTGATAGAAGAGCCCAGTGGGTACAAAATGTAAAGAAAACGCCTTTTAAATGCTCTGAGCGTCTTTTGAACGTTCAAAAGACGTTTTTATTAGGTCCGCAGTGTTAAAATTTATTTTCAACTTTATTTTTCCAATTCAAATAACTATTTTTAAAAAAAATATTTTTAGTGCTTTTATCGCAATTTTTTATTTATTTTTATGTTGTTTATTGTATTAATTTAGGTTTAAATAAAGTGTTCTTTGATTATACGGTTTTACAAATAAAATATATTTTGTTTTATTCAAGGAGAGTTATTATTTGTAAACTACTCGTAAGATTTAATAACTCCGTTTTTATGTTGAAAAGTTTTTTTTTAATTGAGTCTGAACAGGAAATATTACTTTCATATTTGCAAAAAATGTATAATTAAATAATTTTGAAATAGTTTGGAAACAATTTTAAAGTAATTATGAAAATGTGTAAATAGTATTCACATAAAAACATTGATTCTAATTGCATGCTTGTTAAGTCGTAAAGTGTTCCTTATTTACAATTTTCAAGAATACATCACAGCAATTTTAAGTTAGAGTGTACCAATCAATAATTGTATAGTTTGTAGTAAACAGTGATTGGCAATAGAGGCAGCATCACTTTTTTTTTTATTGAAATCAAAAACTAACTGCTGATGCAAAACATGGTGCAAACTGAATGTTCGAACATTCACATGTTTTTACTTATATCAAATAAAATTGTTTTGAGAAAAAAATGTAATGGTTTGAACCTGGGAACTTAATAGCTTCCTTTTGAAAACTTGAATGCAACAAGTTTATAAATAAAAATTCAAAAACATTTTATATCTATCAATAGGTTTCAAAGTTTGTTTATAAATCTTTACTCATGCTTATGTAAAATTTGTAACACCCTCAAATTAAGGGAGATTTAAGCTTTACAGAATGCATAATAGAATAAAAAATTTATAAAAAAGATCTTTATTAAATATATTTACTTTATTAGTAATAATTTTTAACTCTTTTTTTCATAATAAAAACCATCATTATATTATTTGTGTAATCATAAAAAAATTCATTTTTTATTAAATAGAGAAATTTGTAATTGTAAATTTGTATCTTTGTAACTGCTTCATACCGTTGATGTAATCTAAATAATAGATAATAAAGATTTTTTTATTATTTCTTCCTCGAGTTTTAATGGCTTAATGCCATCACGAGAAAGAAATTATATTAAAATTTTCATTTTCTATTATTTAGATTACATTAACGGTATTAAGCAGTTACAAAGCCGACGTCAGAACTCTTGTAAGGATAATATAATGCCATTGGTATTAATGTAACTAATATATATATATACATATATATATATATATATATATATATATATATATATATATATATATATATATATATATATATATATATATATATATATATATATATATATATATATATATATATAATATTAATTTAAGTGGTAAATATTAATAATAAATATAATTTTTGCGGTGAGTTTTTTTTTTTTTGAATTATTACTATTTCAAAAAAAAAAAGTCAGTTGTAAATAATAAAAATAAAAAAAATAATAAAAAGTAATTTTTTTTTACACATACTTATGTCAGATTATAGTTGGATACTTTTAATAATTCACACTTTAGCATAATGTTCCTGAAAATACTGTTTTTATTTTTATCAATTATCTAATGACACAGTTTGCTCGCAATTAAAAACACTAATAACAATGATTTATATATAACTGTATTCATAAGAGAGCTATTAGTTATAAAATAAATATTGCTGAAAAACATTGTGCAGTGCAGTAGCTGGAAAAAAGACATTACAGAACAGAAGAACAATGGTTTGTGCTTTTTGATTATTTTGTGTGTTATGATAAAATATTTAGTTACGCTTTTAACTTAATTTTTACTTAGAAATTAAACAAGAAGTTTCTTTTTTTTCTTTTTTTTTTGTTTGTTTTCTAATTAGACTTAATTGGAATTTTTTTTTTACTTTTTTTTTTTAGACTGGAGAGCATACTTCAGTAATTTACGGTACCCATTATCCTAATAGACTTTTTGTTGGTTGTCTTCCTCCTGATGCAGGAGCTGAAGATCTTGGTACGTTTTTTGCCAACTATGGTAACGTAGTAGAAGCAAAAGTTGTTTTAGATAAATTTGGTGTTTCAAAGAGGTTTGGGTTTGTAACATTCAGTAATGCGGAGGATGTTGAAACTCTTATTAATGGAAAAGATGTTATTTTTCAAGGGAAGAAAATTAACGTAGGACCTGCTGTTAAGAAAAACGTAAGTAAAAATAATAATAATGAATATGTTTGGTTATAATGAATCAGAAAGTAAAATGACTGTTTTGGAAATAATTCAATATTTAGGTAGAAAACATGGAAAACAACAACAATCAATCAGCAGGGCATGAAAACAGTCAAAACAAAGATCTTGAACCCCCACAATCAATACAACAAATACAACCAATTCATGTTGCTAAAACAATTATAAGAAAATCTCCTCTGGAGACATGTCAGCGCTTAAATTATGAGCAAGATGAAAGCTCCTTTCAATCAATTTGGGGAATTTCTAATCAAAAAGTATCAGTATGGGGCCCATTAAGTAATAGTTTTTCTCAATACACCTCAAAATTAACTGAAAAACCCTCTAGTATACTTGATCAAACAAATAAAAAACCAGCATATTACCAACGATACTTTAAAAATTCAAAGTATACCCCAACTTTTAGCAACGGATTGAGAGATGGTACATTTATCCATAGCCTTAGTATAAACAAATAAGCAGTTAACTTATTTGTTTATACAAAAGCTATTTGCTTATTTGTTTATTCTAAATAATTTTTAATGGTTTTTAATAATTTTATTAATTTTTAACAATTTCTACTGACCCTTTGTAATAGTTATTTGTAATGAATATTTTGTAAATTTTTGTAAATATAATGGTTTTTATATTTTGGTCAGCGGTTATTTACAACACTTTATATTTGTTTACGTTAAGTTGCTTTACGTTCATGTTTTATCTTTCATGTTTTACTCTTATGAGAAATAGAGACAAAATTTTATTACCACGATGTTTTCCCTTTCGTTATGATAAGTATAACTGTTTTAAAATTTTTGCATTAAATTTTAAAAAGAATTTAAACCCAGTAGTGAGACGTCTGAAGCACGTTCCCTAAACAACGCGTGCTCTTCCCAACTGGGAAGTGACTAAGAAATAAACTCTCGTTTGATAAACTTTTAACACTTTTTGATTTCCGAAATATTTTGGTGGCAAAGCCTTCTAAAAAATAATTTTTCGGAGTTTAAATTGTTGATACACGCTGGTCAATTTCGTTAAGGTGGTTCGTTAAGGTCCCCAAGAAAAAGTCAATTTAACATTAACAACAACAAAAAATTAGTTCATAATAATTTTTACACATCACTTTTGTTCATAGAAAACAAAAAATCTTAATGCTATATTTAAACTTTCAGTACTAATAATTTGGTTTTATGTCTACCAAACAAAGTTTACCAACAGATATATAAATAATATATTACTTCAAAAAATCAAAATAAAAGCTGATTTTTTAGTTGATTCATGCGACTTTATATCCACTAAGTATGATAAATTTTTTAGTTGATTCATGCGAATTTATATCCACTAAGTATGATAAATTTTGATAAAATATATATTTTCTTTATAATGATAAAGGTACCCAAGACTGCTTTATTTTTATTGATATTTTCATTGATATTTTGAAGAAACCGTTTAAAATTGTTGCATGCTTTTTTATTTATTATTATTATTTTTAAGTTTACCGTTTTTATAATACTCGCAATTTTTGTATATAAAAAGATCTTAGGGGTTTTGATAATAAATTAGATCTTAGTTTTCACAATGCACAGTGGGTCAGAAGGCGGCAAAACCTAAAAATAAAACTTAAAAAATCTAATTTTTATTTTAATATCAGTTAAATATATCTAATATACGAAAATAATATTTGTTGTTAAGGTATGATAATACCTTAAGTTTACATAGTAATAACTGACCACAAAGTATAAGAGTTCCGTTAGCAAGGTAATGTTAAAAAGTATTCATTGTTTTTTTTAATGTAACAGATGTTTTCAAAAGTACTTGATGCATACTACTAGCATCAAACAAAATATTTTACCAGTTTTTGCCAGTCTGGACTGAGCAATCGTTTTGGTTTTGGCTAAAAAATGTCATTTTTAACCCACTGTGCAATGTATCAAATTTTACTACTTGTTATATTTGTTTTATGGGAAAATTTGAGTATGGATAATTGCGTCGAATCGGAATGGTGATTCTCAACTCGAATTCTGGTGAATAAAATTACTGAATTATTACCATTGGTATAAAACACGGCTTCGGAAAAAAATGGAAGGGTGGACATAAAAAAAAAGGCCGCAAAAGTTTGAAGCAATAAAACACGGTCTTATTAAGGCTTCCATTTCTTCAGATATGTATGGATTGTAAACCGGTGGTTCGTGTGTCCAAAGGAGCAAGAGTTCTAGGGTTAATAGTCAGAACTCAATTCAGTAATCAAAACATCAAACATGGACATAAATTGGAAAATTAACGTTTTGCATGTCTGCGCTGATTCAAATGTGGTATTTAATTGGGTTACTGACGCACTCATTAAAAAATTTAGATTGAGAACAAAAGAATAAAAAAAAAATGTTTGTTTAAAAACAACTTTAGACTATTGTTAAGGTTGTGGAAGAATGCCAACTCAGAGTGGATACAAAACTTGTTGCATCGGAATTTAAATTAGCCGATGCTCTTACTAAAGTGCCTGACAGTTGGTTAAAAGATGTTGATAAACCTTCTGAAATGGCAGCAAGTGAGATAATTAGAACATCGCTATCTTCCAAAAAATTGATTTTATTTATAAATTTACAGGACACTCTGGCATGAAGAAAATATTGTATTTTGTTCATAGAACTTACCCATCAGTAAGCAAAGAAGAAAGGAAACAAGTAGTTAAAAAATGTAAATCCTGTCAATAATTGATACAAGCTCAATAATTTGGCTGAAAGGGAAAATAAAAATTAAAAGAACGTGGCAACGATGAGTATAACTCATTATAATGGGGCAGTATTATCTTATACTAATCAACCTACACGGTATGTTATATGGCGTCATCTTAAAAATCAAATTAATCCATGTGTTATTCAATAATTAAACGCAATATTTCCCCAACGAGAAGGTTCGAAAAAAATTCTGACGGACAATAATTCAGCATTCTGAAGAATTTCGTTTACAAAAATTATAAATAATTAAGACACTAAACTTTTCTTAAGGTTCGATACGCACCATCAAGAACAGTAAGGCGATCGATGATATCGAGGTGTCAAAAAACGGCAAAGAGAGTTCCGTGCCGTATACTTAAGGTAGTTTATTGGTACAACATCAGAACAATAGATAGTTGTCTTCTACTGCACCTACAAATAAGTTACACTAAAACAAAAAGAGAATGAGAGAAATTAAAATTACGAAACAAATCCAAACATGGCGAGAAGGTATGAGTAAAGCCCGATTATTTATACAAAATTGGACTTGCAGGGATTAATTCGGAGAAAAGGGTAAAAGTGAACAATATGTGCTGGCACATACGCGATCTAAGATCCGTAAGAGTTAATAGTGATTCTGATAAGCATTCGGAAAATGATGACGAAATGTATGTTGTGCTGCCGAATAACAAAACAAACAAGATGCCTCGGCATTTGAACGTTATAATCAGTAAGGTGAAGTGGTCGTAATGACCAAGTAGGAGTATAATAAACAAAGTTTATTAAAATAGCATGTCATTTGCAATACGAATTTACGTGTAAAGTTGTAAAAGCAAATGACCAATTGGTGTCACGGTATGATTGCTTGTAAATAATTGAATATATATATATAAAAGACATAATTGTAATTATCTAGGGAATTCAGTTTGTATATAAATTAAATTCAATACCACTGAGGGATATCGGCATTTTACGCGTAATTGACAACGATTGTTTTTTTATATGAAACTACATGTTTAGAAGAGTTCATTTAACCATAACCAGTTTTATTGTTTTCCTGTATAAACAGTTTCCTGTATATTAATATAAATGAATAATCTCGGCGTCTCTTTTGAAAAAATTCTTACAAAGAACATTGTTTTGTAAATTTAAACGGTTTTGTATAATATAGCGGTTTTATTTCTTATAACGGTTTTTAATATACTTGATAACGAGGGTATCAATATTCTCTCAAAATATCGTTATATTAAAAATATTTATAACTAAACTCTTTTGAAGATGTCAACATTTAAAGTATAAATGTGTAAATAAATATTATCTTAAAATAAAAACTTCTAAAATCGAGTTTTGTGATTTTCCAAAGGCTTTACCGATGCTGATATACTTTATTTGTTTGTTTATTTCGCCGTTTAATAACATTTACTATTTAAAAGTATATAAATAAAAATACTGACGGGGCAAGTAGAAGGCATTATTTTGTCTTATCGTCGATTATACTTTCCTGCAAATACTACACAAGTTAATTGTTATAGTTGGTTTGGTATGTTGACCTAAAAATAAGGCTCTTTTTTTATGCTTTAATAAATAAAGTACACAATCAAATAAACATAATTGTATAACAACTAAGGAAGTTAAAAATATCTAAGGAGAAACTTTAGTTGAGTAAAACCGGGTAAAACCGAACACCATATCATTTTGCACACTGATAGAAATTATCAAGTAAAAACTAAACGGGTGTGGCTATGAAAAAAAAAAAAAGATTCAAATACAAAATTAACTCGAATTAATTAATTAAATTAATTCAAAAG